TGTGTTGGGACTTTTCAAGGAATTTATATGTGTTGGATTTCAAATAATTTTTTTATACTTGTTCTTAATGCATTAAAGTGTTATTATGAGGGCAAGACTTGGGGGTTGGGAGAAGTTAATAAATGTTAAGGTTTTTTTTTTTTTATAAATCAAAAAATCAAGAAATTTAGATTGAGAGATTGAAGCTCCCGCAATACTTGGGGTTAAAAAGCCCCTGTTACTTAGTATATAGTATAAATATAGATAGATAGATATATCTTTTTATTTTTATTTTTGTGTGGTTTCTATTCGGGTATTTTTTTTTTTCAATTTATTTAAGATGGAGTTGTGGGTATCTTTTTTTTTAATTTAATTTATCTGTGGTTTCTATTTGTTTTTAATTATTATTATTTAGGTAAGTTATGATGTGAGTTAGATATGTGATAGACATGTGAGTTTTAGTGATTTAAAGTTTATTTAGATAAACTTTAATTTTTTTTTTTGTATTTTAGTTTTTTTTGTTATGTTATAATATAATATATAAAATATAGGTAGATATCTACAACTTTAATAAAAAATATTATCTGATTTTTTTGGAAAGAGAAAGTGGATGCAAGTTTTAATATTTTTTTTTGAAAAATTGTGAGAGAGATTAGGAGGGAAAAATTATGAAATATTATTGTTATTAAATAAATAAATCAGTCAATAGTTTTTTTTAATCTATTTTGTAAATTAAAAATCAATAATTTTGAAAATTTGATTAATTTTTCTCATTAAGTGATTTAAAATTTTGATAGATATACATAAAAAAAACATAATTATATTATTAAATCATAATTCAAATTTAGATGTTATATCTTTTTGAGATCTATAGATAAATTCTTTTTATTTTTTTTTATTTTTGTGTGTAACCATAGTGTACGGGAGAAATTGAAAAGGGTGTTGCAATATTTATGAGAGAAGTCAAAAGAGATTGTGGGTTGGGAGAAGTCAATAAATGCTGAGATTTTTTTTTTAAATCAAAAAATTAGAAAATTAAGATTAAGAGATTGGAGCTCCCACAGGCGTTGGGGTTAAAAACCCCCCTTTTACTTAATATATAGTATAGATGAGAGAGGCCCACAATATATGTATAAGTGGGTGTTTGGGAAGTGAGTTTTTTTGTAGGTTTTTTTAGTTGTATGATATTATTGGAGAAAAAAAATTTTGTGTTTGGAAAGATAGTTAGGTTTTTTGTAGTTGGATGTGATGTTTGTGAGAAGAAAGTGAAATGATTATGAGATTGGATATGATATTTTGTTTGGATATAGATTTTTTTTTTAAATCAAAAAATTAGAAAATTAAGATTAAGAGATTGGAGCTCCCACAGGCGTTGGGGTTAAAAACCCCCCTTTTACTTAATATATAGTATAGATGAGAGAGGCCCACAATATATGTATAAGTGGGTGTTTGGGAAGTGAGTTTTTTTGTAGGTTTTTTTAGTTGTATGATATTATTGGAGAAAAAAAAATTTGTGTTTGGAAAGATAGTTAGGTTTTTTGTAGTTGGATGTGATATTTGTGAGAAGAAAGTGAAATGATTATGAGATTGAATATGATATTTTGTTTGAATATGCTTTTTTGATTTTGCAAAAAGTTTATCTTTTTATGAAAAAAAGAAAAAAAAAAAAAAACCCAAGTTCAAGACTTCCCATACACACACATATATATATATATATGTATATTTTTTTTTAACCTAAGGTCCCTCAGTATGAGCTCTCATGACAATGACGATGAAGATGAAGAAGAAGGCAGCGAGGTCTTCCCGCTTCCCTTCCCATCTTCCTCTCTCTCTCTCTAGATATGTATATACACATGTATAAACTTGTTTCTTGGTCCTGCAGTCATGGTTACCAATGTTGATAGGACTAGGCTAAAAGACTCATGAACGCCGGAGAAGAACACACTGGTGTGGACTCTGTTGTACTAATTAACGGCTCACCCAGTTCCCATGAAGTTGTTGCAGACCAGAAGTCATCATCAGAGGCGATTTGAATCCCAACTTCATTTGTCAAATTTAATTTTAGTTTTGCACTTGTATTTGTTTCTCAACTTCGTTAGTTGCTTTATGGAATGGGTTTTAAAAAAATTGTGATATATGGGCTTCATGGTATGTGTTGATGGAGAGATTAATGGGGGGCATCATTATGTGTAGATTACATGTTCGATAAATGGTCTGAATGAAATAGTTGAAAATCCATTTGGTTAAAAGTGATTTGATTTTTGAAAACAATGAACTCACAGTCGACTCAGTTGTGATTCATAAATTGATTGTTGTGAATTTCTCAATTTTCTTTGGTTTTGTCAAAATACAGAGAAATTTATAAATAAATTAGAAAAATTTTAACTTAGAGAAATTTTAAAATATAGAGAAAATCAGTGAAATTGAGAAAATTAGAGAAATTTTAAACTAAAGAAATTTCTCTAAAAAAATGTTTGAGGAACCCCAATCACTATGAAAATATTGCACGTTTTTTATCTTATAAAATCTTAATATCAAATATCTTAAAAAAATTTCTCAATAAAAAATTTTAAATCCAAAACTGGGAGGAGGGCACATGACCCCCACATGACCCCCTAGTCTCCATGTAGATCCGCCACTGAATACAAGGCTGAGTGATACACACTAAGGTGGCCACAGGGCCGGCTTTAGGCATAATTCGGCGAAATTATTGATTTGGGTCTCGGAATATTAATATAAAAAAAAAGGCTTCAAAAATTTGTTAATTATTATATTAGCCTATAAAATAAAAAAATAAAAATCTCTTTGGAACTTTAAGGGTCTCAACAAAATCTAGTTATGATTTCAAATTAATAGATACTTGATGTGGTAAATTATTTAAAATTAATAGATAGTTGTTTTCATAAGAAGAAACCAAAAAACTAAATCAATGTGTTTGGTTTGAGTTTTCTGGATTAAGTTTTTTAAAAATTTAATTTTTTGGTTTTTGTATTTTTTTGTTTTTAGTAAATATTTTAAAAATTTTAAACATTTTTTTTACTTTTTTAGATATACCTTACTTATATGTATCTAAAAAATAAAAAAAAATGTGAAAAAATATTTTTTTAAAATTAAGAAATACATAAAATTAAAAAAAATGTATTGAATTCTTATATTTTTTTTTGTATTTTTGGTATTTAGTGAATTTTTAAAAGATTTTTTTTACAATTTTTTTACTTTTAAAGTGTATTTATGTTAGGTGTGTCTAAAAAGTAAAAAATTTGCATAAAATATTAAAAAAATTCAGTAAAAACAAAAAAAACACAGAAAATAAGAAAGTAGAATTTTCTGAAAACTGTTTTTAGAAAAATGGAACGAAACATAGCCATTGATGTGATGAATTGTTTGAAATTATTAAATGATTATTTTCTAAATATATGGATTATGTATAGAATACGAGTGACTATACTATTTACAATTACTCTTTTCAAATTAAAGTTGATTCAATCTTACATTTGCTCAACTATGTCAAATGAAATATTAAATGAATTAGCAATTTTATCCATCAAAAATAATTTAGCTTATAAGTTGGATTATGTGAACTAGATTAGTAATTTAACAGTTAAAAATGCAAGAAGAATGATATTTAAGTAATTTTTGTTACAGTTTATTTGCTTTTTATTCGATACTTTTCAATTTAGATTATTTTAGTTATTTTTCGTATTATGAACTTTGCAGTATATTTAAGTAAATTCTAATAGATATACTGTAAGTAATCTTTTTATGAGTATTGTCAAATATCGAAAAATAAATAAAAAAATTAGACACATAATAATTATTTTTTAAATATGTATAAAAGGTCCCGTGTTGAAAGTTCATTTTGGATTCCGAGAAAGTCAGAACCGACCCTGGTGACCATTGGCTCCTTGTCCGTCCAACTTGTCTAATCTAGTTTAATATTTTTTAAAATTAAAAAAAATATATTTAAGTTATCGAGCCAGATTGTAATGAAATTTTGAGTTCATTTTATTTTTGAGTTGAGTTTGGAATAAAGGGTTTTAACCCAATTTGGCCTGACCCCTCCATGTTAAATATGTAAATTTTAATTTCATATTATTTATAGAAAATAAACTAGAAAAGTAATAGCGTAGAAAAGTGCATATATATACTGGAATGAAAGGTTCGTGCAAGGCATGAGCTACTATAGCATTTGACTCCATTACAATCTACTTATGGAAGATTCTATTTTTACATAAAAATCTCTCTAATAAGAATTATTATTATTATTATTTTACATAAAGACGTATAAAAAAGTAAAAAAATAATGTGATAACTTGTAATAAATAAGTTACTTGTAACGTTTCAAACTTTTACAATGAAATGGAATAATATACAATTTTTTAAAAATATTTATTTTATGTTTGATTCACTTAAAAAATAATAAAATTGCATTATAAAAGAAATAATAATTATTCCATAAAAAGGTAAAATAATTAAAATTTCATTCTATTGCACCTCATTCCATTCTACTGCCTGAATTTTTTCTCTAAAAATAAGATTATTTTCTTACAAAATTAAATTAAATAAATGATAGAAATTTTAATTTCTATTATAAGGTACAATTGTGGAATAAATAGATGAGCTAAAAATTTGGTTCAAATGAGTGGACTTTTTTTTATTAAGTTTGATTAGGATGGGATAATCGCAAGGTGATATTACACACCAATGATCATGTGGCCTCACCGTTACATTTTGTTTTGAAATGATTTTTAAAAAATTATTTTTAGACCCGTGCAAGGCATGGGTTATTATTGTGATAAATTTAAATTTTCAAAATGCAAATCTTCTAACAAATTATTTTGTTTCTTTTGATCTTTTAAAAATTATTTTTAGATGGATTTTCATTTGTTTAATAATTTTTTCATATTTTATTCAATTTTTTAAACTTTTTGAATTCAGACACATCTAAAAAATAAAATTAACGGACTAAACTATTCAAAAAATACTAAAAACAAATGAGAACAAAGGCATGTGTACATTTTTGTTTAGATTTTTATTTATTTTAAATATTTTTTTTAATATTTTAGTTAATTTTTTAAAACTTTTTAAATGTATCACTTGCACATGACATCTTAAATGGAATACCTTAAATGATATTATCAATTTGTTTAGTTTGATTTTTTAAAAATATTTATGAGTTTTTAAATTTCTAATGAACTTATTTCATATTTAAAATAAAAAAAAAATTGTTACGTACTTTTGGTTAAGGTTCAAATTGAACAAATAAATAAATAAATAAACAAGATAAAGGGAGTTAAGTGCTATAATTTTTAATTTAAGATATTAAAATAATATGAAGTAATAGTTGAAAGGTTAAAATGTAATTTGTCAAAATTTATACTAAATAGATTACAAAGGTACACACTTTTTGACTTTTTATGAAATATGGGTTGGGTTTGGATTGGGTTTGAAGTGATGTGTTAGAGAGGTGATGTGACTTAAATAAGATGATGTGACTTAAATAAGATGATGTGACTTAAATAGGATAGTGACTTTTTGACTTTTTGTCTTTTTTGTCTCATGCCAAACTTATAACAAACCAAATTAAGTGAAGCAGTAAAGACAACCATGAGCAAGTGTGGAAGAAATAGGTCAAAATACAAGTCATGGCAACCAAAGAGCAACCAAAGGGTAATTCTACTTGCATAACAAAAACAACTCATTGCACCCCATATTTTCAAAAAAAAAAAAAGTATTACACTTTTATCCATGCCTAAAATTACTAAAAAGACCCTTTCAAACCCTAACCCTAATTTCTTACCTTTAACTTTTCACCACCATTTTTGTCGGCCACCACCATTGCCATTACTGTTGACGATCTCATTTTTTCTATCACCGGTGATGCCTTTGTTTCTTTTGCTACCGCCGACGTCAAACCCCACCGTTGTCTCCTTCCTTCCTCCTCCCTCGCCATTTCTCGCCGTTCCCCTCAATTGCAACCCAGCCATGCTTCGCACTCCCCTCTTCCATTGAGCTTCTCAATCTCTTATTCCATCACTGCGAAAACAAGCAAGAGAGAGAGAAAACCCTAGGGTGTGGTTGCTATGGTGAGGGACTATGAAAGTGGTGGTTGAAGAAAGAAGAAGAAGAAGAGACGAGCGGTTGTCAAAGGAAAAAGAAAAAAAGTAAAGAAGGAAAAGAGGGCTGTGGTGGTCGGAAATGGCAAGAAGGGTAGTCGTTGACATTTGTTGTTGAAGCAACAACAGTGGTGTGGTGGGGGTTGGAAATGGAGGCTAAGGTTAGGGGTCTGGAATGATAAGGATAGATTTGGTATTATGATAAGTGTAATGAGAAAAAAATGATTTATAGATAAATTTTAAAAAGAAATGGGTGTAAAGAGTCCATTTCATGGTATAAATAGAATTACTTCAACCCAAATAAGTACAGCAGTAAAGACAACCATGGGCAAATGTGGAAGAAACAGGTCAAAATACAAGCCATGGGGGAGCTTCTATATACACACATCCTTTCCTCTCTATACAAATCTTTCTTAATACACACACTAAAAAAATAAATCCTAATATATTTGACTCACTACACACACCTATCATTCCACATATACCCCAAATGTAAATCATACACACACACCCCCTCTCACACACACACACCCGTGAGACCCCTCTCACACACACAC